CCCCAAAACCCCAAAACCCCAAAACCCCTAGATCTCTTCCCAAAATTCTAAAAATATTAAAATTTATAAAACGAGTGCAGACTCTGAAAGTTTCGCAGCTGAAGGTGAAACTGAAGTTGAAGTGTTCGGGGATGTTAGTGTGTGGGGATGGGGGTATCTACAGAAGCAGTGAGGTGGGGAGATAGAAGAGGAGAGGAGAAGGAAGAGGGTTGTGTGTGATAAGGATATCCTTCTGAGGGAAGTTAACTTTGTCACGAATTCCAGACTTTCCGGTGAAAATCACATCTTTCCGAGAAATCAACAGGCTGGGAATACTGGTGGAGAGCCTGAGCAAGAAATAGATCCTTCTGAAGATTTTGAGATTCAAGTTTACGGTAGTATGATACATAAACTGTTGGATATTCCTATGGCTTGTGTACTTCTAAAATATGGGATGTACGTCCTCTGTGATATAAGTTAGCATCTAAAGAGCCTTGATTTACTTCACCCTCTTCTTAATCTCCTGCCTATATCAGCTCATTAAATGTGTTATTGAGGTACATCCACGGGCAAGAGACAGAACTGACTACAGACAATGTGACTTGTCCCACAGAGAATGCATATTTTTTCAAGATGGATACCTTCTTAGACCAAAGTATGAAGGATCCCCTATGAAGGCCTAAACCCAATTGTTTAGTTGGGGAGCTAAGTGGCCTTATTAAGTTCATGTGACAGAATATTGAGGAAGTAGTGAAACTTGAGAAGGATTTTAAGCGGCTAGATGCAGATTTGGCAAAAAAAATACTAAATCAATGACATTAGAACAGATAGATAATTTTTTAGATGAAGAAGATAAAATTCAATCCCAATTATTCTTATTCAAACTAACAGATTTGATTGACAATCAAGACAATTTGCTCAGATGCTTTCTTTGTAATAAACTTTTCTCACCAGAGCAACATAAATTAATGCAGTGAGAAGACAGTGGAGTGTTTGTTACCTCGTCGCAGTCTCTCTACACTAAACATGCTCCACACCCGAACTGGTCAACCGAATCCTTCCTAGAGTTTATTCAAGAACAAAAAGTGCCATGGAGGCTCTTCCTCTGGAAGATTTGGGCAAGGATTAAAGATTACCAGTGTTTTTACTGGTGGAACAGATTTGTCTATGCTGAATACAACTGTTGAAGGTATTGCAATTATTTGTTCTCAGCTTTACTTATATTACCAAAGATCTCCCAAATTATCTAATGGTTCTGATAAAGGTATGTATCCGTGATGAAAGATGCAAACAGAAAGATCATCCTCAGAAATATATTCCAATGGATGTAAAAATGGGAAGCATATTTTTAAAGACCTCCGTTCTGTATCTCAAGATTACAATTTATTTATGAAGCATTATGAACAATTTAAAGAGCCTTGTATTAACCCACACATACTCAAAAATAATCCCCCATCTCCTCCAATTTCAAGTGAGCAGAAAGAAGAAACTAAGGACCAAATCAATAAACTCGAAACAAAGTCTTTAACATCTCTTGTTAAACACTACATTTCTGAAAAACTTAATAAATCCGAGAGCGAGCACGCCTCTGAAATAACCGAGACTGACTCACTACCAGACCTCACCGATGACTTAACCCCCTTATAAACACCCCAAATTCAACATTTAAAACGTGTAAAACCCCAAAGATCTCCCTCAAGGTACGTATCCTACAAACTCAAAGTACAAATCCAGGCTGGCCCCAAGCCAGAACTGAAGGTCATCCACGAACAAATCTCTGTGGACTCCAGCTTCAGTAAAAACTCAAAAGACTCTGTAGGGGGTAGCAAAGCTAAGCTAACAGAGGGCTACAGGGCTTATGAACGGAGGTTTTTGAAGGAAGAAGGGACAAGTGGGAATAGAGGGAGGAGATTTGTGCCAGGCTGGCCGCTGTATTGTGCAGAGGAGAGGGCAGGAGTGGGCAAGGAGGGTAGGAATGGAGTGTAATTTTTGAAAGTTTTGAAGGGTTTAAAAGGGGGGTTGGGGGTTGGGGAGTTTTTGTTTAAAAATAGGGGGTTTTGAGGGGGAAAGGGTGTTTAGGGGGAGATTATGGGGAGATTTGGAGGAGAGAAAGGTATAGAAAGAGGGCTTTTGGAGAAGAGTTTTTTGGTGTAGAGAATGGTGATACTTTGTTGTAAATCAGGTGAAGGATTTTGAGATTTGAGAAGCTAAATTTTGATAAATAATAAAATTAATCGAAAAAGTACTCACTAAACAAATAAATCCCCAATTTTCAATAACCCCAAGATCACACGGGGTTTTGGGGTTTTGGGGTTTTGGGG